TATCTCTCTCTCTCTCTCTCTCTCTCTCTCTCTCTCTCTCTCTCTCTCTCTCAGTATAATAAATTTTTATACAATGATGTATGTTGATGTATTACATAATATGAATAATTTTTGATAATTTGATAAATAATTTCATGATGCAATATTTTTATACGTATATTATTAATTACATTAGGGCGATTCCAGTCCAAATATCTTCACTTATAACAGATCTACGCCTTCTAGTCCAGCATTATTGTCAGCAACTATTAGTCACAGTATGCATTGCTTTCTAAAACAACAATTTTGTTTTCCAGGTAAAGAAAGACATTTGTTGTTATAATTATATCTTCATTTTTTAAAATATTAAACACGCCATTTATTTTGTTTCTAGATATACCGAACAAAAAAAGGAGACATCTGAGAAATTGGAAGAGGCAACACAAAGATCCGAAGTAATGATAGCGAATGTTTTGAATGATAAGAGTGAAAAAGATGATATATTTGATACGTGCCAGGATAGGATAGTAAACATTTCAAGATCTGACAATTCACATTCACATACGATGCCACTGAGTATTGATTCTCTGGACTCTCTATTTTCTGATAATGGAGGAGATGAAACTGGATATGACTGGCCTCGACAGAATAGTGTATATATTATGTTTAATATGATAAACATATAAGCTTTAATAAAAAATTTTATATTCTTATATTTTATTATAGATATTGATGCGAGATTGGGACATTTCATATAATAAATTAGTTTTTGGAGAGTTAATTGGAGAAGGAAGATTTGCTACGGTATATAAAGGTGTTTATCATGGAGAAGTTGCAATTAAAGTTTTAAATATGAATTATTGTTCGAATAATGAGAAAATATTACAAGAATTTAGATTAAAGGTAAAAATATAGATTATATTAAAACTTGATATTATTAATGAAAAAAGATTTTATATTTAAATGATAATAAACATATTTCTATTTATTATAGACAGCCATGTTCCAAAAAACTCGACATGATAATGTGACATTATTTTTGGGAGCTTGTACAAATCCTCCACAATTAGTGGTGGTGAGTCGTTTGACTAGAGGTCAAACACTGTATACACTTCTTCATTTACGAAAAGACAGGTTCAGTTTGGCTCAACTGATGCGTATAACTGAACAAATTTGTCATGTAAATATGATTCTTATATAGATAATATAAATATTTTTTAAGTTGTATTATTTGCATGAATATATTTATTATCAATTGAATAAATTTAAATATATTTAAAAAGGCATTAAAAATGTATAAATAAAACGTTGATTTTTATAAAAATATAAAAAAAATATAAATTTAAAAATTAAAAATTGGAATTATTTGAATATTCTTATTACGTAATATATATTTTATTTTACAGGGTATGGGATACCTTCATGCTCGTGGAATAATACACAAAGATCTTAGAAGTAAGAACATATTTTATGAATGTGGACAAATCGTAATATCAGACTTCGGTTTGTTTGATGTTACTAAATTATGCTATGGATATAGGTAAGAATAAATCTTCCAAGATAAAATTTGGTTCAAATTATATTTTAATATTTAAGACAAATATATTCGTGTGTGTATATACTTTTAGGAGAAATAATGAATTAAATGTTCCACCCAATTGGTTATGTTACTTGGCACCTGAGATTGTCCGACAACTAAGACCAATAAGTCGAGGTCTGGATAGGTTACCATTTTCAATGCATTCTGATACTTACGCATTTGGGTTAGTATATTTTTATTTTAGAATTATGATTATGTAATTCTAAATATATTTTAAAGACTACACATAATATATAAATATAACGTAATATTATAACAAAATAATAAAAGTTAACATTTTACATGATATATGTGTCTGTATTTATGTATGTGTGGTTTGTATTTAAATATATTGTTTCTTATCACAAAATGATTTAAAAAAATATTTAATGTGTATATGATTCATATATTTAAAGAGAATACAATAAATACAAATTCAATAATACTAATGAAGGACTAGATAAAAAAGAAATTTTCTAACAGGACTATCTGGTATGAGTTGTTATGTGGTGAATTGCCCTTTAGAGGGCAACCTACTGAAGCTATTATTTGGCAAGTCGGAAAAGGAATGAAACAATCTCTAGCAAATTTGCAAACTTCCCGTGAAGTAAAGGTATGTATATATGTATATTTCTGTACAATATATACATATAATATGATTCACTTATGAATTCAACTTATATATTATTTATAAAAATTATGGAAATTTCTCAATTTTTTTGTAGGACATTCTAATATTATGCTGGTCATACCATGCAAGAATACGTCCGAATTTTACAGAGATAAGAAATCTACTCCAAAAGCTGCCTTGCAAAAAATTAGAACGTAGTTCCTCTAATCCTATGAATTTTTCTCGTTCTGCAGAATCTATGTTCTGAATATATTTAAGTTTATTTATATATGTATATATATATATATATATATATATATATATATATATATATATATATTCTTCTT